AAAGAATTTGAATGTTCTTCGTCTTCCAGATGATGTTTGTTCATATTTCCAGCTAAAGCGGTGCCGATGCTTTAAAAAAAGCTGTGGTTTGAAGTTTGAGTTTTACGTTATGTTTACGTCGCGTCTTCTTCTGTGAGTTTATTGGCTGGTTGTAAAGCAGAAATCTGATTACTGTCTGACTCATGTAGACCCAGAGTTTCCCCATTATCTGATTACTCAAGTACATGTAAAGGTGTTGATCGGATTACTGACAACATCTGCAGCTATCAGATTATTAAGAGCATGTGAACACACTCATTGTGCTGCATGTGTTTGTGGTTGAAACACTTGCGGAAATGAAAGTGTGTGGTGTATCTGATGGTGCAAACACACACACACACACACACACACACACACACACACTCACTCTCACACACTAAAAGTGTTTTGAGGGTTCTGACTTGTGACATCGCCTCTGTTGCTGCACATTAACACACTAAATCATTCAGTTCTCTCTGCTGTTTCTGTTGTTTTTTCCTTATTTTTGTTGTCATCTTTGTCGTTGTCGTTGTTATTATTGTTGTTCCTACTGTTGCTATGGCAGTTGTTACTGTTATTGTCACTGCTGTTGGGTTTGTTGCTGTTACTGTGACTGTTTTTATTGCTGCGTTTGTTGCGATTGTTTCTGTTTTTGTTGTCGTTGTGATTTTTCTTCTCATTATTTTGTTGGTCACACTTTATTAGGACGATCTCCTATAGATGATCTACAGATGCTTAAATTATTAATAAACTTCCTGGTAATACTCAGTTGATTATTGTCAACATTACGCTTAGGGTTAGGCCTAGGACTATGTGTAGGTTTTGCCTTGAGGTTTAGGGTTTAGGGGTAGGTTTAATAGAGTCTTTCACATGGATCTTCAAGTTCAGTTGCATGTAATAGATATTCAGTTAAATGTTACTTAAAAACAGACTGAGCATCTATGAAGCATCTACAGCGAACCATCCATATAAAGTGTTACCAACATTGTTATTGCTGCTATTGCTGTCATGGTCATATTAATGTTTTTACTTTTTTTGTTGTCACTGTTGGGACTGTTGTTGTTATTGTGTTGGTTTTGGTTGCGATTTTTATTGTCATTGTTTGCTTTTATCCCCGTTATTGGTACTGTTGCTGGTGTCACTTGGGTAATTGTGTCACAAGGCAGGATTTCTCAGTTTAGCCTGATAACTTAAGCCCAAACCTACTGGACAGTCCTCATCTTTGTGCTTCAGTTATCAGGCTAACTGTGAAATCCTGAGGTTGTTCCACCAAGTGGGCTTATAAATGCTGCACTTATTTAAGTGAGCCTTGCTTAATTCATCCTCACAGTCACTCCAGACTCAGACCTCTTTCTGCTAACTCAAACCGCCATTCAGTTATCGAGGCTCACGCTCAGGCATGCTATATTGAAGCAGACCAAAGGGTCAATTGCAGATACAGTGATTTATCAGCTAAAAAAGCACAAAAAACCCTAAAATATTATTCAAAACATTCACGATTATTTAGTTTGTTTTAGGCAAGTGAAGAACACTTGGGGGGCTCTTGTAATGGACCTGATTCCTGATGCCCATGTGGAAAAAAAATGATGGACATATATTTTTATGTATTTGAAATCCATGTCAAATACGCAGCTGTCGATGCTGAAATACATTCCAAACACTAAAATGTATTTCAGAATATTTGGCCATATTAACCAAGTATATTATAAAATGCATTTATTTAAAAATGAATGTGGAAATATTACACACAGACTAATATAAATGTATGTAAATGTGTTTATAAATCCATCTGAAAATGTATGAAAACATCCAGAATCCTGTCTGATGCTCTTCACTGTCTGATACCTTTAGAAATGAATTTGTGTTCCAGTATCTTCATTTTAAATCTGATCAAATGATCCTTTAACAGGACAGAAGCGAGTGTTGTGGGTATTGATACTCTGTGAAAATGCAGTTATGATCTGATATCTTGTTTATGTGAAATACACTGTGTGTGAGAGTCTGACTGCAGACGGACATGGTTAATGTAAAGAGCAGTGCAGGTCACAGAACGTGCTGTAGATGGTTCTATGCAGTGTTTTAGCCCAGCGAGTCTGTGACGTCACACAGCTCATCCAGCAGAATTGATCAGGCTACGCTGAGCCTCGGCTTTCGCCCGGTGGGGAGCAGGTTTGTCCAAAAGTACGTGTTGTCACGGTAACTAAGCGGAGCTCAAAATGAGCTTCTGTCATGCAACTGAAACTCATGCAAATTAGCAGAGCTTGCTGAAAAAAGCCTGGCTTACTGAGTTAGCTCACTTTGAGGAATACCCCCATCACTGCTGTTGAGATTGTTGCTGTTGTTGTGATCGTTGTTGCTGTGATTGTCATTATGATCTTTGCTGTTATCGTTGTTGTGATCATTGTTGTTGCGATTGTTGTGATTATTGTTGTGATTGTTGTGGTTATTGTTGTGATCGTTGTTGTGATCATTGTGATTGTTTTATGTCATTGTTGCGGTTGTTGTGATCATTGTTGTGATCGTTGCTGTTGCAATTGTGATCATTGTTGTCATGATTGTTGTGATTGTTGTGATCATCATTACTGTGGTCATTGTTGCTGTGATTGTTGTAATAGTTGTGATCATTGTTTTGCGATCGCTGTTGTGATTGTTGTGATCGTCATTATTGTGATTTTTGTTGTGATCATTGTTGTGATTGTTGTTATCGTCATTACTGTGATCATTGTTGTGATCGTTGTTGTGATCGTCATTACTGTGATTATTGTCGTGATCGTTGTTGTGAATTATTGTGATTGTTTCTCTTATTGTTGTCGATTTTTGTTGTGATAGTTATTGTGATCATTGTTGCTGAGATTGTTGAGATTGTTGTGATTATTGTTGTGATGGTTGTGATTATTGTTGTGATCGTTGTTGTGATCATTGTGATTGTTTTATGTCATTGTTGCGGTTGTTGTGATCATTGTTGTGATTGTTGCTGTTGCAATTGTGATCATTGTTGTCATGATTGTTGTGATAGTTGTGATCATTGTTTTGCGATCGCTGTTGTGATTGTTGTGATCGTCATTATTGTGATTTTTGTTGTGATCATTGTGATTGTTGTTATCGTCATTACTGTGATCATTGTTGTGATCGTTGTTGTGATTGTTGTTATCGTCATTACTGTGATCATTGTTGTGATCGTTGTTGTGATCGTCATTACTGTGATCATTGTTGTGATCGTTGTTGTGAATTATTGTGATTGTTTCTCTTATTGTTGTCGATTTTTGTTGTGATAGTTATTGTGATCATTGTTGCTGTGATTGTTGTTGCGATAGTTGTGATTGTTGTGCAATGTTGTGATTGTTGTTATGATTGTTGCTGTTATGGTTGTTGTGATCATTGTTTCTGTGATTGTTGTTGCTGTGATTGATCACCGTTGTTTTTGGTGTCATTGTTATTGTTTTTGTTGCTGTTGTCACTTTGTTGTTGTTCCTTTCACTGCGTTTCTGTTATTATTATGCTGTTTATATTGTTTTTGTTGGAGATCATTTTGTTTTTTGTTGTGTTTGATGTTCTGAGTTAAAGCACATCAAACACATTCATCAGTCACTCAGAGAGAGAGTCTGTTTATGTGACTGTTACACAATTTTCTCTTTTTCTGTCACTCAGAAGAAATGATCTCATTCTATAACACACACACACACACAGACACACACACACACACACACACACACACTCAGAAACACTCACCAATTCAAACATGCATACACTCAGTCACACCCTCCATCCCACTCATACACTCCTCTCTCTCTCTCTCTCTCTCTTTGTTCTCTCTCTCTCTCTCTGTTCTCTCTCTCTCTCTCTCTCTGTGTCTCTCTCTCTCTCTCTCTCTGTTCTCTCTCTCTCTTTTCTCTCTTTCTCTCTCTTTGTTCTCTCTCTGTGTCTCTCTCTGTTCTCTCTCTCTCTCTCTCTCTCTCTCTCTCTCTCTCTCAAATCTGTTCCAGATGACTGTAAGTAAGACTGTAACTCTTCCACTCGGTTCTCATGTAAACACATTTAAATCTGTCTGCAGGTATAAAATAACTCACCTGGCCTGTCAGTCAACTTCACCAATCAGGTCCCGCTGTGGGTGTGGCCTCGCGCGCACAGGTTGTACTGAGAGCAGTGCGATAAACATCGCGCCGTTTTTTGTTTCCACCTTAATTCCGGCGAACCACGCCCTCTTGTGCTGTGATTGGCTAAGACCATCCAGCCTGCTGAGGCCTGATTGGCTGGTATTTTATGTTTCAAATCTGCCAGAGGAAGGCAGGAGAGAGTGAGTGTGTAATGTAAATTTAGTATAGTTTGTAATGGGTGATGTAATGGTCTGAAGATTTGAAGAGCTTTTTGTGGTGGATATATAATGTAATTAAAGCCTGCTTAGCTAATTAAAAAATAAAAGCATGTACAGCACAATCTTAATGTAGTTTATGGGTATTAATTTTATTATACCCTTATAATGCTGCAAAAGAAAATCTATGTCTAAAGCAGGTTATTTAAAAAAAAAAGAAGAAAATTGAATCAATATTAAAATAAATAGTTTTTTTTGTAAAGAAGCAGAATTACTTTATATAAAGGAACATGTGTGATATAATTAACGTACAGTTTGCTCAGCTACATGTAAATGGAAATCTGCACAGTCTAAATCAGAATTTTAAATATTATTTGGGTCTTTTATTTTAGAAATATTAATATATTTCATATATCACTGCGATTGTATTGGTATCTGAATATGATTTGTGCACTCTTATTCCGTATAAAAGCGTCTCCTAAATAGAAAAATATATAAACGCATTGTTTTCGGTTCAATTTTCAGTAAAATAGTGTTGTTTTCTTAATCAGATAAATCGTCTGGAACCGTCCAATCAGCGTGGCGCTGTATGGGGGCGAAGCGGCGGCCAATCACAGAGCGGGAGGGCGGGGCTTACCTGAAAGCGGGCGGGAAAAAAAACAGCAGCGCTGCTGCCGCACCCTGCATAGAGGCTCAAACTTCCTCCATCTCAGGTGAAGAGACGCCGCGGAGAGAGGGATTAAAGAGAGCGTTTACGCGAAGACTCGCCCTGTTCGGGACCGGAGGGGCATGGAGTGAGCGGAGGAGAACCGAAACAGGGGTAAGAGAGGGGAACCTGCGCGCTCTTCTGTGGTTCTTGGCTTTTAGAAAGTGTTTAACTCGACGTGACTGTGGGTTTGAGTTGGGTTGGTTTGAGGAGGTGACTCCGTTCACCTTGGAGCGGCGGCCGGGTGGATCAGCTGCTGTTCCTGCAGCTGTTTTTCGGGTTTCGTGCTGGAATGTGCGGTTTAAGACCTGTGGCACCGCAGAAAAGTGATTTATCTCCACATTAAGACAGTGAGTGTTCATCTGGGTTAGCTGGAAACCTGAAATTCCATAGTGGTGCACTGAAACTCCCAGCAGTGAGTGACGTAAACACCAGTCCAGACCAGGGTTTAGACTTTTGGAGAGTAAACACTGAAAGAGGAACAAGAAATCAGGCTGCTCTCATGATGCCCGAGCAAAGATGGACATAGACTCTCACGAGTTTGGGAGATTTCTGTTGGTGTGTGGGTCTGTAAGTCGTGGTGTTGGCTGTGGATTGATTAGTCTTGTCTTGGTGGTTTTGGTTGTGCATTGATCAGTCTTGGTGGGGTTGGCTGATTTTGTCTTGTTGGTGTTGGTTATGGATTGATGAGTCTTGGTATTGTTGGTTTATTTGTCTTGGTGTTGTAGATTGATTAGTCTTGGCTGATGTTTGTCTTGGTGGTGTTGGTTGATTTTGTCTTGGTGATAGTTTGAGTTGTGCTGTAGGTTTGTTCGTCTCTGTGCTGTAGACCGTAGGTTTGGTTGGTCTCGGCGCCGTAGGTTTGGTTGGTCTTGGTGCTGTAGGTTTGGTTGGTCTTGGTGCCGTAGGTTTGGTTGGTCTCGGCGCCGTAGGTTTGGTTGGTCTTGGTGCTGTAGGTTTGGTTGGTCTTGGTGCCGTAGGTTTGGTTGGTCTCGGCGCCGTAGGTTTGGTTGGTCTCGGCGCCGTAGGTTTGGTTGGTCTCGGCGCCGTAGGTTTGGTTGGTCTTGGTGCTGTAGGTTTGGTTGGCCTCGGCACTGTAGACTGTAGGTTTGGTTGGTCTCGGCACTGTAGACTGTAGGTTTGGTTGGTCTCGGCGCTGTAGACTGTAGGTTTGGTTGGTCTTGGTGCTGTAGACTGTAGATTTGGTTGGTCTCGGCGCTGTAGACTGTAGGTTTGGTTGGTCTCGGCACTGTAGACTGTAGGTTTGGTTGGTCTCGGCGCTGTAGACTGTAGGTTTGGTTGGTCTCGGCGCTGTAGACTGTAGGTTTGGTTGGTCTCGGCGCTGTTGACTGTAGGTTTGGTTGGTCTCGGCGCTGTAGACTGTAGGTTTGGTTGGTCTTGGCACCGTAGGTTTGGTTGGTCTTGGTGCTGTAGACTGTAGGTTTGGTTGGCCTCGGCGCTGTAGACTGTAGGTTTGGTTGGCCTCGGCGCTGTAGACTGTAGGTTTGGTTGGTCTCGGCGCTGTAGACTGTAGGTTTAGTTGGTCTTGGCGCTGTAGACTGTAGGTTTGGTTGGCCTCGGTGCCGTAGGTTTGGTTGGTCTCGGTGCTGTAGACTGTAGATTTGGTTGGTCTCAACTCTGTACGTTTGGATGGTCTCGACAGCGTACGTTTGGTTGGCCTCGGTGCCGTAGGATTGGCTTGTCTCGGTGCTGTATGTTTGGTTGGTCTCGGCGCCGTAGGTTTGGTTGACCTCGGTGCCGTAGGTTTGGCTCGTCTCGGCGCTGTAGGTTTGGTTGATCTTGGCGCTGTAGGTTTGGCTCGTCTCGGCGCTGTAGGTTTGGTTCGTCTCGGTGCCACAGGTTTGGGTGTTTGTTCTGTTGAGTTGGCTTGTCTTAGTGTTGTTGAGTTTATTTGTCTTGGTGTCATTGATTTGATCTTTTTGTTGTTGGTCTGTATGGCTACAGTTTCTCTTGCCGCACCCAGAATACTGTTCCTACCGTACCCTGCTATAAACTCAGGTGTGTTTTATCAGCTGCTTATCTGAAGCGTTTTTATAGTGGTTGGACCAGCACTTTTATTGTTAGAGCAGGATCTGAAAATAAAACATTTCACAGGTTAAAGCTGAACGGAGCAGGGGTTAAATTCCAGATTATAAAGCTAGGATTAAAACTGCTTTATGAAGAGAGGAAAACAGGAATTTGAATGAGACTCTTAACTGAGTAAATCTGGGATTAAAACTGGTTTATTAACAGAGTAAAGTAGATGTCAAAAACAAAGAGTAAACCCAAGACTATGAAGAGCATACATTTAAGAATAAACAGATTAAAACCATGATGAGGCAGGGATTAAAACCAGTTTATTAACAGAGTAAAGCCAGGATTAAAACCAGTGTACATACACAGTAGAACAGGGATGAAAACCAATCTATCATCAGAGGAGAACAGGGAATAAATCCAATCCATAAACTAAGTGAGGCCAACAGAGTTTAAACCAGTTTAACAAAAAATTGGGATTAAACAGTGGTTTCCTATGTAATGAGCCAGGGACTAGAGTAAAACAGAGATCATGAACAGAGTAAATCTGGGATTAAAACCAAATTAAATTCATGAAAATGCTGGGATTAAAACTGGTTTATAAACACAGTAAAACAGGAATTAAAACCAATTTATTAACAAAGTAGAACAGAGAATATAAAAAGTAAGCATGGAATTAAACCCAGATTATAAATATGATGATACAGGGATTAACGCCATTTTACGAATAGGACAAAACAAGGATTAAACTGATCTATTAGGTGAACCAAGCCAGGATTAAAGCTGGTAAATTAACAGAACAAACCTGGATTATAAACATAATGAACTATCTTGGATTATGGAATGTCGGATTAAGGAGATTAAGTGGAGATTAAAGTGTGAATTATGAGTAGAGTAAAGCATGGCTTAAAACATGGATTATAAATAGATTAAGGGACAGATTAAACCCCGTTTATGCACAGAGTAAACACTGTTTAAATGCACACTGTGAGTCAAGTGGATTACAGATTATGAAAGGGGTAAACAAGGTTTATGAACAGAGTTAAGCATAGATGCATGGAAAGTGAAGCTGGGATTATGAAGCTAGTAAATGTGGGATTATGATCAGTACATGGTTTATGAACAAAAATAGCACAAAGTGTATGTACTGTTTGTGGTCAGAATGAGTTTATGGGCAGGAAGTACAGATTATGAAGAGAGCAAATCAGAGATTACGAATGTGTGAAAAGTGCAGTTGGTTTGCCCACCGAGTTTCAGATGAGAATAAAAGATGAATAGAGTGGTCTTGCTCATGGAAGGAGTGTGAAGGTGGGTTTTTCCCTCCTGACGGCAGGTTTGGTGGGTTTATAGCTCAGTGTGTAGTTTAGTCGTAGAGGAAAGTTTAGTCATGGACACGAAAGGAAACAGCGATGATGCATTAAACCCCATTTCATCAGCAGAACACAAAGTGCTGCAGTAGTGCTTTTTGTGGCTTTGTGGTCTGTCAGGGTACAGCAGGGGTGGGCAATGTGACGACCACCTTTACTGTACAGGTTGTTACTCATTAAGGTACATACAGTATAAATGTACCCTCCTAGGTATTGGTGATCTGAAGGTCCAGTTGTTTACTTTAAATACGTTTTAAAGGTTCACAGCATTTACGTTTCCAGGAAAAAGGGGCATATTTATACCTTTTTGTGACCTTTAAAGGTTTGAAAATTCAAATAAAAAGCCTGGAGTAAGACTCCAGATGGGCTATAATCCCAGATTAGAAATGTAATTAAGCAGGGATTATAACCAGCCTGTGCAGCTGAGATGAAAACTGGTTTAAAAAATAAATAGTAAAGCAAGAATTAATAACAGTTTAACAGAGTAAAACAGACATTAAACAGATCCAAAAACCGAGTAAAGCCCGGATTAAAAACAGTTACTGGACGCAGGAAAACAGGGATTAAACCTGAATTATAAACTAATGAATTAGAAATTTAAGCCTGGATTATAGACTACAGAAGTAGAGATTAAAATTAGTTTATGAAAAGAGCAAAAGCTTGGTTTGCTAAGAGTCACGCTGGGATTAAAACTGGTTTATTAATAAGGCAAATTAGAGATTAAAACTGGTTTATAAACAGGAAAACAGGATTTAGTCCACTCTATAAATGCAGTAAAAATGGGATTTGTACTGGTTTATAACTGTGAAGCAGATATTAAAGACAGACATGAAGGGAGTGAACTAGGGATTATGAAGAGAGTGAAATCTGCACTGTGAAGAGATATGAAATTGGGGATTATGAAGATGAAGGGAATCTAAGATTAAGAAAATGTTTTTGGGACTATAAAGACAGTGACTCTGGGATTATTGAGAAAATGAATAAGGGAATATAAGGAAAGTTAATCTGGAATTATGAAGAAAATGAAGGGGGAGTTATGACGAGAGTGAATCTGGGATGATGAAGAAAGTAAAGGGGGTTTATGAAGGTAGTGAATCTGGGATTAAGAAAAACATGGAGTGGGGATTATGAAGAAAGTAAATCTGGGATTATCAAGAAAATGTTTCGGGGACTATAATACAGTGACTGGATTACTAAGAAAATGAATAAGGAATTATGAAGAGAGTAAATCTGGGATTATGAAGAAAGTGAATGGGGGATTATAATGGAGGAATCTGAGTATAAGAAGTAAACGTCAGCTTGTTATATTCTGATATGCGAGTCCCGTGCACTCGTCTCCCCCATCGACCGTCAGACACGGATGATTCATTAGCAGCCACTCCATGGCTCGTTTAAAGACCGTCCGGTGCAGCCGAGCAGGTCAGGCGGCTCCTCAGGCACTACGAGAGGAAACAGAAGCGCTGTGGTGTCCATGTTAGGCTAATCCAAAGGCCGGTTCCTTCATACCTGCTGCCCCAAAAACAAAGTGGGCTACTTTTAAATGAAGTGGACTAGACAACTGGAGGGGAATTTTATTTGAAACGTGACAAACATTCCTGACTCGGACGCTCAGCTAAACGAGCCAACAGCCACTGCGCACCTCATAGCGGTTTGCAGCTGACGACGGCAGCACCGCGTTGGCCTGGTGGCCGCAGTGCCGATGACAATGGATGA